TTAATTTGCATTTTACCATTTTCTTTAAAACAATTCTTCAAAAGCATGTTTATTATATGTATTCTACTTTGGATTATTTGGAAGTATCCTGTTAAAAATATTTCTATAATAATGATGACAAAACTAGGATTAACTTGCAAAAAAACCCTATAAAAAGAAGTAAAAAAATTATATTTTGGAACATTAACTTTTTCTGTAGTAATAAATATGGTATAATATGGTATAATAATGGAACCTATTATCCCCCAAAAAATTAATAAAAATAATATCTTCTTGTAGATAAATAAATTAATATTATTTATTTCAACTGAAAATTGTTTAAACTTGTTTTCAATACTTAAAAACTCTTTCGCCAGTGAAGACATAGATTTCCATTTAAAGCAGCTAAATGTATATAAAACCAACATAATTAAATACCATACGAATCCTAACCCTTTAACAATAATTTGCAACACCACAGAATTTTGAAACTGCACTGGTAAATTTTTATTCAAATCATAAGTTTTCATCAAGCAAAAGGAAAATGCTATAAAATATATTATTGGTAACACCCAATAAAATTTGAAATATTCCAATGTATTTTTTTTAGATACTTTATAAGGTCGTAAGCCAAATATTATTAAAGTATTTGTGACGGGTGCCAAGGGGTAGTTTTTCGAGTCTAAAACCATTTTTAACGAACTTGTCTGTTGAAATACCTTCACAAAAATCGTTAACCTATTTTCTCGATGACTAAACACCTTCTAAGTAATTAATTTTAATAATAAATAAGCAATTAACTAAATGAAAAAAAATAATAATTTTTATCATAAACCGTATACCTACAGACTCACGATATTAAATCAACTAAACCAGTAGCCATACGGAAACCCCCAAATTACTCCATGTCGGGTTTTTAAGAAATTGCAACCCAAACTTAAAATAAAGCGCTAAATTTGTAGTTATGTTACATGATGTAACTTACATCCCAAAGTAATTGTTTCTTTCAAATCTTTTTACTGCATCTAAAAGTAGTCCCTTAATTAATAATTTTGAATTTTTCTTTAAATCGTTTTTAATTTAATTTCACAATTATAATCAATTCGTATATAATACTCATTTGCTGAAAAAACTGTTTTATTTAAAAACTACTTCCTCAAAATAAAGTATAGGTACTTGCAGTGAAGATTTGGGATTTGGGATTTTTCTTAAAAATATGTGTCTATTACAGAACAACATGTTAATCTAAAAAAGCAAAAATGTCATTTTGAACATGTGGGGTTTCTCAAATAAGCGTTTCAAATGTCTAAGAATGATATCATTCTAAATAAAAGACCGCATATTTTTTTATTTAGGAACTGGTTTAACATATACAAATTAAAATAGGATTAAAAAAATGATAATTAAAATATTTTTTCTACTCCCACCTTTAAAACGCCCTTTATCGTACATGTTTCCATGACACTAAGTGACCTTTTAGATACACATTGACAAGTTGTGGCTTTATGGCGCTTTAATCACGAGCTAAAGTTAGCAACAGGATTTTAGTCACTGGCTGAAGTTAGTTTTAAGTTAGTTGATAGTTGTCAAATGTCATACAATCGTTCAAATAAAGTGCCTTTCTTGTAAAATAATACTAAATGTGAAAATTATTTTATTATCTCAATACAAAAGTACAAAAGTATTAAATAGTTTCTCAACGCCAATATTTATATTTATAAAGTTTACAATGGCCCCACTATGGGGCGGTTAGATATATTGTTATATAACTTTTTATAATCGTTTTAAAATATTTGAATGATTTTATTTGGTAGATTTAAAACCAAAAAATGTTGAGCAATTACTAACCACCTCAATTATTATTTTTATTTTATTTTATAAAAAGTTTTAGCGTATGTTTTCATAGTAAAATAAAATGTTAATATTTACTTACAAGCAAAACAAACTGTCAAATCTGATACTTCTTTTAAACACAAAGGTTTTAAAGCCTTCTTAATTTATTTACTTATGTACACACTTTAAAACCTAATAAACATACAATAGTATATTATGTATCAAGTTTGATAAACACCATTTTAGACTCGAATTTAATTTAGGCACGAGCGAGCTTGCGAGTGCTTAATTAAATTCGTGTCTAAAATGGCGTTTATCAAACTTGATACATAATAATAATAATAATAATACAAATAATTTCTTTATTTGCCCAACAGAAAAAATCCAATTACAGGATAAGAATAATATTATAAGTAACAGAATATTGTTTATTAGGTTTAAAGTGTGTACATAAGTAAATAATAAATAAATTTTAAAAAAGTGTAATTCTTGTATGACCAACGAACCAACCTCTTTTATTAAAAAAATAGTTGTGGCATAAAGTATGTTTTTTCAATTTTTGAAAGCTCCTAAAAACCAGCTTTGCAAAAAAAGAATAAAATTGTATTTTTTTTCAAGGCAATCTAGATATAGAAATAAAATTTAATCAAAAAATGCTTTTACCAGTCAAAAATGACATGTATTCAAAATTTTATTTTGAACTGAAATATGTAAAAATGCATAGGGTGTTTTATTAAAAAATAAAAAGTTAAGACCATACAGTCCATCATAAAAAACACTTCAAAATCGACCAAATTATTTTTTCAATATGTGTCTTTCTATACATTTATTCCATCGATTTTTATCAATTTATAATCAGTAAATGGTTTTAAAATTAGAAAAATAATGTTTTTTGTGATGCTTGGATCTACAATTTAAATCTAAAATATCTCGAAAACAAGAGCTAACCTAAAAAAGCGACCAGTACCATTGGATTTACCGTATTCGAATTAGGTAATCCCCCTGGGTGCGTTGCTTGTTAGAAAAAAAGTTTCCGATTCGAGCACAGTGTAATTATTGTTATAAGAGGTTTTTATAAAGGTTGCGTCATTTATTTGAATTAATGTCGATAAAAGTAATTCTATTATTATAATGTTTTATTATAGAACAAATATGTTTTATTCTAATAACGTAGAACCTATTTAATTATTAAAAACACAAAAAACAGAAAATTATAAAAAAAGCTTTACTATTTTTTACTGTTATAATTATTTTGATATATAAATGCATGCATATGCGTAAATTAATTAGTATTGTTTGCATGGAGGCCAATAATAAAAAGGGCAAAATTATTGAGATAATTTTTATCCCAAATTTCGTTAAAATTGGGCGTAGCTCTACCTAAAATTAAAATAATGGATCTTAAATTTAAAAAACATTACAATAAAAAAGTTATAATGATTAAACTTTTGATTTTTTTAAACAAACTGCCTTACTCTTAAATAACACTGGCTCTTGTTTGATGTTTTCATTAAACTTGTTAATAGATGTTGTTTATTTTGTTTTTTGCTTAAAATGAACTACCCCTTAGCGCGGTTTAGATTTAAAAAAAAAGAGGATCGGAAAACTAAACCGAATAACTAACATAGGCTTATAAGCATACTAAATTTTCTGAACACTGAAATTTTCAGATTTTTTTGAACTCTAATCTGGAACCATTAAAATATAAAAAATATTAGACTAAGTTTGTTTCTCATGATAAATAATATGGTTTTGAATTAATTTTTAGTTTTTAAAAATATAGTAGACTATGACAAAATGAGAACTTTCAATATCTCAATTTATTTAAAGAGGCAAAGTTAACCGTTTTTTGTAAAAGTATGCTGCCTTTATAAAGGTACTTATACCTGAAGTTCAGGTCCTGAACGGATCATATATTCCAGAGGTTATTAGACTTTTTAATAAAAAGTTTTCAGATTGATTAAAAAATTCCTCAGTACCTGTAGAGTGCGTAATATAAAAATGAATATATTTTTTTTTAATATTTTTTTTTCCAATTGCTCTTTATCTAAAAAGATTAAACTTGGGTTATGTGTTATTGTAAATCTCTTTTAAATCTTTATTTTACAAAAAAATATTTTTTATTTGTGACGTTTGTGAAACTGATATTTTTAATTATATAGGTACCTAATTTTTATCTTCATTTTTTTTTAATTTGTAATAGCAAAATAAAAACTTTTTTAAAAGGGTGCTCTTTATTCAAATGTGTAAGCCCCAGTGAGTTTTCTATGTGGTTCAAGATCTTATTGTTGCACCACTCCAATAATTTTTAAAACAACACAAAATGGTCAGGTTGTGCAAATCTATACAGGGTGTAGTTAAAATGCTTGGCCAAACTGCCATGTGATGTATGGAACAAAATTGTAAAAAAGTTCCCACTCTCTAAAATTGAATAAGTCAAAAATTACAATTTTTCACAGTGAAAAAACATCCATTAATAACTGTAGACCACAGCAATTTGTACATCGGAGTCAATTCTGTGTAAAATCCCTTAATCCGAAAATACAGCCAACAAGTAGATATAAAAGTGGAGCAGTTTTTAACATAAAGTCAATTCCATATAATATAGAAAATTGACCATATCTCAAAAATTTTTCGGATTCATCAGACAATTTGAGATAGGGATTGACTGATAAATGTCCGGGAAACAAATTGCTGTTGACAAGAATTATTAGTGGCTGCTTTTTGTGAATGTGAAAAATACGCACCAAATTTATTTTTATAAAAAAAATTAAATTAAAATTATATAAAAGTTTCTCTTGAACTCATTCACTTATGAAATTTTGACATGTCAAAGAAGATGAGATTGACCTGTTAATTAATTAATTTGCGTATTAAGCTTATTAAGCATTTCTGGGTACACGTGTAACTTTTGGCGCTTTGTATGACTTTAAAGAACTTTTAATTTTTTTATACTATCTTTATAAAGGTCGCACACCTTGCACCGCCCTAGGGCCGCCTCTGTATGTAAGGTGTAAAAAAATCGAAATTTTCCTAGTACATAATGTATATTAAATTTCAATGCACTATGAAATTGAATAACGAATGGTCTATAAACGCAACTTTAAAAAAGTAAAGTAGTAATTGAGATTATTTAAATTTTATTAATGTTGTGAGTTAATTTTTCTAATTATCTATTTTTGTTCCAGGACTATGTGAAGTTGAAAATGGACAATCCAATATTGTTTTAGATATAGAGGAAAGTAGGCTGAGTTGTAAGTATTACCATTTAAAATAATAGTTATTTGGCCATTATGCTTAGAAAGGACTAACATTTTGTACTGAGCTTAAAGTTTAAATGCCTTAAGGGCCAAATGGCATACAACATTTTAAATTCAAGTAAAATTATTAACAGTAAAAAGTAAGGTTAGAAGTGTCTGGCAGGTAATTGTATACACGTGGCGAGAAAGTTTCTATCAATTTAAAACCTTACTAGCCTTATAAAAGTTTTTATCTTTTTACTGTATATTTTTATTGTTCTCTCTTAAAATGAATTAGTCAAAAATAACTAATTATAAGTCATATTTGACTAATAATTATTGTCATTGCGAAAAAGCAGTCACTAATAATTAGTCAAATTCTACTGAATGAAATAGTCAAATTAGTAGATTTAAATTTAAAAAAAGTTTTGACCCAGCCGGGGATTGAACTCAGGTCTGTCACTTGTGAAGCTTGTCAAGCTGTTGTCATAACCAATTCGGCTATCAGAAGCTCTTATAAAAATCAATTTTATTTGTCAATAAATATTGTTAATATTATTTTAGTTGAATATATTATTTGTGATGCTGTTTTAAGCTAAACTTTTTGCATCTTTATTTGTTTTTATGGATCATTTAACCATGGAGCTTAGGTATATGCATTTCATTCAAATAATACTTTGTTGTTGACCGCAAACGATTAAAGAAATTAGTTACTTTTAAATCTCAGAAATAGTCAAAGATGGTGACTAAATTAGTTAAACTTTAACTATTTACGTAGTAAAAAATAACTATTTAAAAGTGAAAACGACTATTTTATTAGTAAAAAAATGCTGGTACTTATTCAAATAATAGAATTTTGACAATTTTATTTGAAGAGAGTTGCATATGCCATAATTAATCACTTTAGTGTAGCGACAATAAAGTTTTATTTATAGACCACTTGAAGATAAAATATATTTAAATTTTTGTTAAAATGTATTAAATTTAATTTTCTAATGATTACTTTTTTTTTAAATCAATATTCGTATAATTTAGTATAATTTAATATATTTAAATTATTTTTAGCAATTTCACAAGAAACCAATCCGCCAGAGTTACCGATATCGGGAATACCAAACGTGGATATATTCTTAGATCTTTCCTTTCCAAAAGGTCCACCTGTTTTTTTTCTTAACGACAAAAAACTTCAACTGCTCTCTCCATTAGATAGGGATGAAAATAGTATTTCGCATATAGTTTTTCAGGTAAATATTTCAATAGATATATTCAAAACTTTCTAAATTCATACACTATGAAATACAAGTTACCTACGTATTTTAAGTAAAAATAATGCACAATACACAATACAAAACATTTAAAAATAGGAATGCTACAAATTCTTTGTTTATGTTAATTAATACTTTCTAAATATTATCGATTGCATGTATGTACGAGTATACCGTATATCAGTATACGCAATTAAATCTAAAATATTACTATAAAGTCATTGACATCTAATTAAAATCACAATAATTGTGCTAATATACAGGGTGTCCGGGAAAATGTGGGAAATCTCTCGGATTCAGATAGAACATGAAAAAATAATATGACACGTTCCTATAAATTTTTTTCCTACTGGCCTTCCTTACGGAGACATGGGCCCCGAAAGGACTCCCCTGCAAATTGGTTTTCCTTGAATAACTTTTAAACTACTAAATATAATTTAATAAAAATTTAATATGATGGACCCTGGTAAGGACCTCTTAAAATAGTGTCATTGAAACATGTTTTTCTTTTTTTGTTTACCAGGGGCGGACTAAGTTTTAATTTTTAATGCTTAAATTTTGAACACCCTGTATGACAAAGACTTAAAAAAACTAAATCTGCATAGCTTGAACCTTAAACTAAAATAAAGGTACTCTTGTTTATTGTCAATAAAATGAACCGTTTTCGATAAAAAGAATAATAAACAAATTCATGTTTTATTTTTTAATAAAAAGGACCATAAAAAAATAATATAACGTATTGTTGCAAACCTTAAATTGAAGGACGATAATTCGAAACAATTAATTAAAAACTTTATAAGAGGGTTCAACATGGGTTCCGTGAACTCTGATACATTCGCGGGCACGACGAATTGAGGACTGCTGTACCCGCCAGAATAACCCAGAATTGTTTCTTATCATATCACAATAAAACGTGATTATCTGTAGAACTTCCTCTATCGGAGTGGAATACACCAAGTTTTTTTAGGTATCCCCACAGGAAAAAATCCATCAGCCTAAGGTCGGGAAATCGAGGAGGCCAGTCAATAGGTCCTCCTCTACCTGTCCAACGGTTTGGATAAACGTTATTCAAGTGCTCCCGCACAGCAACGCTGAAATGAGGTGGTGCCCCATCGTGCAAGAAGTACATGTTTAGGCGGGTTTCAAGTGGTAAGGGCTGGAAAGAATAGTGCTAATGAAGTTTACATTATTTTGTTGCTGATCCAATAGCCAGTTTGCAAACTGCATTCTACAAGGAAAATCTTCAGAAATAAGTTTATGCACTTTTTGCATATGATAAGGATATAACAGCTGTTCTTAAAGAACATCATGCGGCGTATTAAACTGTGCTGATAATTTTCGAGTGCTTGTTGAAGGAGTGTCATCTACAGCATTTAAAATATTTTTCAAACTTACCTAAAATTATAAAGGAAGTCAATAATATTACTTTAATAACTGAAATTGTCCACCATTCTCTCTAAGACGTTGGTCAATTCGTTAAAATGTCTTCTGATTTCGAATAATAAGACAAAAATGGTGAACAATTTCATTTATTAAAGTAATATTATTGACTTCCTTCATAATTTTAGGTACCTACGTTTGTAAAAAAAGTTTTCTTTTCACGGATGAAGCAGGATTTACCAAAAAAGGTAACACACATGTATGGGCTGATGAAAATCCTCATGCCACTATTGTTTCGCATTTTCAACATCAGTTCCAACCAATTAATACGTGGGCAGGAATCATTGACAATATTTTGATTGGACGAATCGTATTGCTGGCACGATTGAATGGACTACTTTTTTGGAGTTTCTCCAAAACGCTTTTCGGGATTTAATAGAGCCCTTACCACTTGAAACCCGCCTAAACATGTACTTCTTGCACGATGGGGCACCACCTCATTTCAGAGTTGCTGTGCGGGAGCACTTGAATAACGTTTATCCAAACCGTTGGATAGGTAGAGGAGGACCTATTGACTGGCCTCCTCGATTTCCCGACCTTAGGCTGATGGATTTTTTCCTGTGGGGATACCTAAAAAAACTTGGTGTATTCCACTCCGATAGAGGAACTTCTACAGATAATCACGTTTTATTGTGATATGATAAGAAACAATTCTGGGTTATTCTGGCGGGTACAGCAGTCCTCAATTCGTCGTGCCCGCGAATGTATCAGAGTTCACGGAACCCATGTTGAACCCTCTTATAAAGTTTTTAATTAATTGTTTCGAATTATCGTCCTTCAATTTAAGGTTTGGAACAATACGTTATATTATTTTTTTATGGTCCATTTTATTAAAAAATAAAACATGAATTTGTTTATTATTCTTTTTATCGAAAACGGTTCATTTTATTGACAATAAACAAGAGTACCTTTATTTTAGTTTAAGGTTCAAGCTATGCAGATTTAGTTTTTTTAAGTCTTTGTTATACGGGGTGTTCAAAATTTAAGCATTAAAATGTAAAACTTAGTCCGCCCCTGGTAAACAAAAAAAGCAAAACATGTTTCAATGACACTATTTTAAGAGGTCCTTCCCAGGGTCCATCATATTAAATTTTTATTAAATTATATTTAGTACTTTAAAAGTTATTCAAGGAAAACCAATTTGCAGGGGAGTCCTTTCGGGGCCCATGTCTCCGTAAGGAAGGCCAGTAGGAAAAAAATTTATAGGAACGTGTCATATTATTTTTTCATGTTCTATCTGAATCCGAGAGATTTCCCACATTTTCCCGGACACCCTGTATAATTATTAATGACCGTATTTTAGGCAAAATAATTTTTGCCTTTTTTCGACTAAAATTTTTTTCTAAAATGCTTAAACCTGCCTATAGGAACCATAATGCCTTTTTTAGTACCTAAGCGTGAAACCATAAAAAATTTATTGATATTTTGTTAAATTAGTTTTTTTACAAACTTTAATTATTTATGTAAAAAATTATTTTTTATTTATTTTTTAATATTTCCTTTTTAAGTGTGCCTACCTTTTTTTAATTTGTATGTGCCTAAAAGTCCGGTCTCTACTAATTATTATAAGTTCATAAGGTTAATCAGAGTGATATATGATTTGAAAGTAAGGATGACACAAAGTGAAAATAGAAAATATTTCACATTATAACCTTATTGTTTTTTATTGCCCTTTAAGATTTTAAAGAGGAAAGTTATTTAAATATTAGCTATAAACATATTAGTTTTCAATAAATTTGGTCAATTAAAATTATTTGTTGTTAATGTTATGATTTATTTAAAAGCTATACTAAAATGTTATTTACAAATTGATAAATTGGGTTAAATTTAAAATAGTTGTAATTTCGAGTGGTACCTTATTTTTGTTGTATAGTTTTAATTTCCTCTTAGGGTGTTTTTACTCAAAGTGGATAACGTAATAAAGATTGTAGATATAATCAAGACTCACACTTTTTTTAAATAAATATTTTTCATATAAGCTTCTGTTTTCAAATTATCGACTTATTTGGATTGATTTACAATTTTTGTGTTATACATTTTTAAATTCGTTTATAAATAACGGAGATAAAAAGGTTTATGTAAAAACAAAAAACGACGTTAATTCTAAAACAAAACCTTGATGAGAATCTCATCATGAGATCTACCACCTCTATTACGTTGTCCATTTTGAGTAGAAACATCCAGTATATTTTTTGTGACCATTAACAAAAAAATATCATTAACACATGTTTTATATTTTTTCAGTTAATTTGTACTGTAAAATCATCTCATAAAAAACGGACAATTCCTGTTATTGTAAGACTGACAGATATAAACGATAATGCCCCACAGTTCGTTAATACGCCATATGCAACCAGTATATCAGAGGTAAAATTTGAGAAAAATGGTAAACTCTTAAATTATTATATGTTTTTTTAGTTGACCCCTGTAGGTACAACTATTTTTCAAAATATTCTTGCCAAGGATAAGGATTCAGGTGTAAACGGTTTAGTAGAGTATTCGATAGTCGATGGTGTCGATTTGGATTTGTACGATGAAGGCATAGGCAGAAACCGAGTACACAGCGAGGACGGATACGGCTACTTCGCCATCAATCTGCCCCATCAGGGTCAGGTTACGGTCAATAGAACACTAGACTTCGAGAAGACACAAAGATACTATGTCACGATAGTCGCCACGGTAAGTGAATATATCTGTATGAAATTATTGCTTATAAGAATAAAATCGTTAATTTTTATTTAAAACTCTTTTTAGCAATGTGTTTGTATTGTATAATTATTTCAAAGGACTTTTAGGTCTTTAGAGACTGACTGACTATATAGTCCGTATACTGTGTAGGAGTATATAGAAAATATAGAATATACGGTATACTCCCGAAAGTAACGATCTTAAAGTTAAACCTCTCATATTTTTATATTCATATTCTATTCCCTTATAGTAAACGCTTAATTCCTCATTAGATTAATTACCAACTAGATTTATCATATAGAAATACATCATTAAAGAGAAGTGTTATGTAATAAAAAGGGTACTATATAATATAATAATAATAATATAATACGTTATTATACGTAAAGTTCATTTTTTTTTATCTGGACTGCGGCAAGGTTGCAAATGTAGGGTTTTGGTTGGTAAATACAGTTGTTAAGTTGGTCGCATTGATTAAAACAAACCAAGCAAGTTATAAATCTAATTGTGAGTTCGGTTTTGGGTCTCGTGTCGTCGGTAGCTCTATGAAAGAGTATATGAAAAATAAGTGACTTCTCGACCCAGGAGAGGGAAAATCGGACTCCCAGTGTAAAAAACAAACTGGTATTAATCAAGAATTTGTAAAAATATATGGAAATAACTAAGAGATGGATCGGATGATTGAAGATTAAAGACAATTGGAAAATTCTGTGTATGAAGCCATGTGTACATATTGAAGCGAAAAGATGACATGGTTCTATAAAAATTGATAAATAATTAAGAATATATAAATGATGCAAGGGATGAGTTAATCTCAGATTCTTTTAAATAATAACCTTGATCATAATAAAGAAAATTTTAATATTATAATGTGCTGGCCAAATACCTTTCAAATTAAGCTAAAGGTAATTCCTCTGAACACAAAATTGTGTTCAGAATTAAGAAGAAGAAAAAGAAATCTAATTGTGGTTATGTAAAAATTATAATAACAAAAAAAAAATTGTTTGAACATGAAGTGAGAATAACCAAAATTTACGTATTTTTGTGTGCTGAAACAGAATCCGCCATCAGTTTTTTTATATCTCATCAAAATTTTCAATAGATCGCCAATTTTTTTTTAAACATTATTTTCACTCAAAAATCAATAGACTTTTATTCTTGGTGAATCTGTGCATTCTTTGAGTATTTGTTTGTGAGTGGTATTTCTTCTCTTCGCAAGATTCAGAACGCTATGTTCAACTAATATTTCATCTGAGCTGGAGGAGGTTCAAATATTAAAAATAAATCCCAAAATCAGAAATAGGCACACATTCTCATGTGATTCCGGAATCTTTTTCCTCTATTTCAATGAGTCCATCCCACTGATTTCGGGTTGTCATCGCCTACTATATCGTATTCTTTTATTCTCAAAAGATCGATGGAGTCCTGACCGCTTTTTCCCTCACTGCTCAACGTCCCGCTTTAGCATCCAGCAATAGTCCGCCATCATATTAACGTCCCACTTGCCTTGATACCTTTTTTCCATCGTCTTTATGTCCTGATGAAATCGCTCCCCTTGTTCCTCACTGACATCACCAAGGTTCTCTGGAAACATTTCAAGGTGTGAGTCTAAAAAATGGAGCTTTATATTCATCAGGCAACCCAACCTCTGGAAGTTATTCACCATCCTCTGGACAATATCCTGGTAATCCGGGGACTTGTTATTTCCAAGGAAATTGTCAATCGTCTCCTTAAAACTCTGCCAAGCAGACTTCTCCACATCCGTCATGCTCCCCTCAAACTCCTCATTCCGCAGCAGTTTTCTTATTTGTGGTCCATCAAATACCCCAGCATTAATTTTTGCTTCAGATATTTGAGGAAATTTGGACCTTATAAATTGAAAACAAGAGCCTTCTTTGTCTAATGCCCGCACGAATTGCTTCATTAGGCCCAATTTTATGTGGAGGGTGGGAATAGTATTTTGGAACGATTTACCAATGGTTTCAAAATAACATTAGCAGACCCGACTTCTAAGGATTCTCTTGCTGGCCAAAGTTTTTTTTATAATGGTTGTCCCGATCCCTACTACAGAGGAAACAAGGATATTTTGTGAAACCAGACTGCTGTCCGAGGATTATCCCGAGAATTTTTAAATCCCCGCAAATCTGCCAATTTTGATCAGTATATCTGATGATCCTCAAATTCGTGTAATTCTCCTTCATAACTGTAGAGTAGCCAACTGGGATAGAGGCGTACTGATTTGAATTATGGAGCAAAACAACCTTTAAACTCTGTTTTGAGGAGTCAATAAATAATCTCCAGCTCTCTGCATTGTAAATATTTGGTTTAAACTCATCAATCAGACTTTTGATATCGGTACAATATACAAAGTCGTGTTCTTCATCTTTGGTAAAATACTGTCTGAAAGTTTCCTCTCGATTTCGGTATAAAGTTATCTTGACTCCTTTTTTCCAATTATATTTGCGCTTCATGGCACTCGCCATGCACCATCTTTCGACAGCCCCAAATCGCTTATCAGATCATTTAGCTCCCCCTGTGAACATTTTTCAGAGGGATTATCTCTGTTCTCGTGATATCGTTCTTCGCTTATCTCACTTCCTGAGTCTTCCTCTCTCTCAGAATGATCTTCTTGTTCTGAATTTTGTTCATATTTAGAACAATAGGGTCGGGAAATTTCATCAACTTCCATTTTCTCAGTGGGAAAACGGCTGATAGCTCCAATTGCTGAATTTTTATGAATTAGTTTCTGATATGATGACACATCTGGATAAACTATTTTGGTCTTTGTCACAACATTGAATTTGTTTGTATTCGTCATACAAAAATAGCAATCTTCTTTCAGTTCAGGCTTCCTCCACTTTTCCGGGACTGAAAACTTGATTTACTGCCTATAGGCGATATATCGCTATTATTTTTGTATCGATGAAGGGAAGAATAGCACGCAACACAAGTTATTTTTGGCACCCACTCCATGTGTTGATCTTTAACAGCAATACCGAAACAACTTTCATACAAATCGATAACTGCCTTGGTGATCTTTTTCCGGTTTTTCGGTACTTCAAATTTCCCACAAATATAGCAAAAATATTTTGAATACAATTTTCAGGAAAATGGTTGTTTAAATTTGAATTAGCCATAAGAATGTAAATAAACCCACACATTAGAGATCCTAGCCCGATCGTAGGCGAGTCCACCGTCCTGGAGGTGATAACTCCCATGCCTCTCCAGGGCTAAGCATGGGAGCTTTCTGACTTTGATGAGGACCATGTCAACTCATCTTCAGACACACTACGGCTTCATCCTTACTCTCTAATGTCCCTCTGCAAGGCAGTGCGCCTACACTGATTTCGATACCCCATGGCACTAGGGATGAGTCATTCCACACATCCTTTAAAAGGCAGTTGTCATCAGCCCTTCATGTCAAGAGGTAGCAGAATTCAATCCGTAAGTTTGCAACAGGAATTTTTAAGCCCAACGCTGAATGACCATGCACATAACCTAAATTACCCTGGCAGTTGAACGCGTATAGACCTTTCGAGCTAAGTTGACTGCAATTTGAGGAATCCCCTCGAATGCCGAATTTTGGCATCTATTTACATAAAAAAGATATTTAATGTCCTTGCCAAAGTAAAATTTGTTTGGAATAACAAGAAAATACAATTTCTGTTCTAGCTATTTAAGGCTGCTTAAACCTAGTTCCGTTAGATGTTATAAGTATCCTTGGACGTGGAATTCCAATGTTTCTGTGAGAGTTAAGGAAAAATTTGGAAATAGAGTATCAAATTACCCAGAAATAAATAGCACTCACAAACAATTTGTTGATTTTTGAGTGAAAATAATGATTTTTCAAAAAGAAAAACGGTGATCCATTAAAAAACTTGATGAGATATAGAAAAACCGCTGGCGGATTCTGATTCAGCACACAAAAATACGTTAATTTTGGTTATTCTCACTCCAAGTTCAAATAATTTTTTTTTTGTGTGCCGGTAATAATAATAATTATTGTAGGATACATTGTGCAGTTGTCAAGTTCAGTTGTCGAAATTCGTAGTTAAAAATGCAATTAATTTGGCTTTTGTGGTGCTTGGATAAGTAAAATCATATAAAAAAAAGTAGTTAAATATAGGTTGCTTAACGGCCCAGAAGAAAAAGTATTCCTAGCGGATAATAATTATTATCCGAAGATTATAATCTTCGCTTTGAAAAGAATTTATATAAAAGTAATTAAAATTTTTTGTGAACGTAAATGTTGTCCAATGGTGAATAATGTGAAAATAATGTGTGATGTAATATTTATAAAATTCGTTACTTTTTTACTCCAAAAATGTTCATAAGGCGATGTACTTTTTCTTCCATTGTGGCATTTGGCATAATTTCATCAAAATGAAGTTTTGCCCTCAAAAGGGCTTTTACATTAGAATTCGTTGCTATTATTTTTGGCGTACCTAATAATCTTTTTATTTATAATTAACAAGTAAATTATCAATAATAAATATTATTGTCAATTTGACAGTGTCAAAGTATTAACTCAAACTGGCATAAGCCACCAACCTAACAAAAAAACACGAGTCCAGAATCTGGACTCCAGATAAAAAAAATTAACTGTATTACGTAATAACGTAACCGTTCTAGGCTAGACTTTTTTCTAAATACTATAGGTTAGGTTGGTAACATGTTTAAGAGTCATAAATGATGACAATTGACGTTTCTGAATTTACTGAACAATTTTAGTTTTATTTTTAATCCATTCTATTATCTCGTCGGAAAACCTAGTTGTAAGTAGCAATAACACAATAGTTGGATTGCCAAACTCGCCTGCGGCTCGTGCGCAAATTTCCAATTCGTGCGTTATAGCTTCTTTACAACTATCGTTATGTAATATACTATTTTATATTTGTATACCATAATAAGCACAGTACAATGCGCAATAGTAAAAAAATCTTATAAAGAACTTATGTCATAGGACTTTTTCTCGTACCCGTCCAGTAAAA